GGCAGGCAGTGCTATAAGCGGCATCGTGAAATGTAAAGTGCCTGTTTCGCATAAGCATATGCAAAATTTCAGGGTTTGTGGTATAAACTGGTGTTAGTAGGGCAAAGGGAAAGGTTGCGGACAGAGGGGAACAGACTTGATGCCAAAGATTAAGTTGCAATGAAGCATTTACAAAATAGAGTTAAACCTGCTCAAAGTCAGGCTGAAGCTGCTTCTAATACTACTTTTTTTAAAATAAAATTTAAAAATTGCTGCCTCCCTGCAGAAAGCTACGCTCCTTTAATCTGAACAACTGCCTACAGATTAACTCCCCCATGCAGGTCATGCAGCACTGCCTGGATTTTCTTTTCAAAATAATCAACGTTTACTATTTCCAGCATCTCCCACAGTACCAGGCACCTTCCACAAAGGGGTGAAAAAATCTGAGGCACTTTTGAATTAAGTGCCCCACAGCAGAAATATTTCTTTATAGCTTCCATCAATTAATAGCTGGCACCTGCCCTGAAGCACAGACACTTCTGAAGTGGAGGCTAGTCGTTACCTAAAAAGAAGGAGGAATTATTTCTTCTTCTAGACTTGCTAAGCTCTTGCTTCCCTGAGCACCTTAAGCAATGCTGAGCTCTTCTTCCAGAAGGTAAGCACCCGGTCTTTGCACAGATACTCCACACCTCTCTTCGGGCATGCCTGCGTCTTCACCTCGGGCACTATAACCCACTTCAGAGAGCCTCTTCCAAAGGTTATCCACAAATACAATCAGTCCTTCAAGGCTTGGACTAATCGATGTATCACTTTTAAATATATGTTACACAAAATTATAACTTTATCACATCACTACTTGCTCTTCCTTCCAAGTCAGCGGTAAAGGGAATTAAACCGTGGCCCTTTGTGCACCATAATTTACCACACCACAAGCTGGCGAGTTCCTTGCTTGGTTTTCTTTCTTTCAGTCTGTTGCTGATCCAAGACATAACTTCATTTCTTGCCTCCACTGCTCAACATTTCTTGATTAGCTCTTTGCAAAAAGCCTTGATGGAGCCAAGTAAATTACTTCTGGTTTCTTTCACCTATTATTTGCTAGTATAGTCTTAGAGCTGATGTAATTAGGAAGGGTTGATCTTATTATACCAAGTTAAATTAGGTGTTACAGGATTCCATTTTATTCCCTGCTGTCTTATGAAGAGATAGCATGAAGGACAGCATCTGCGAGAAAACAGTTGTTCACAGAGACATTAAGAAAAACGGACCTAAAGAGATCATCTTTAAACTGGAGTTTTCTAAGCTTTGCCTATGCTTGGCAGATGAGTGATGAGATATTAATTGCCCAAATTTACAGCACAACTTGAGCAATGCTGATATCATCAAGATGTTCACATGAAGGATGATGTTCAAGCGTGAGTGACACGTGGACCTGATTAATGGAAAACGACTGTCAAAGCAGTCTTGGAAGGGCAGGTGCCAGGAGGAGGGAGTACCTGCCAGGGTGGCTGGAAGTGCAACCACTCGAACTGAGTGCACGGTGGTGCGACTCCAAGGGCTGGGAGAAGCTCACAAATTAAGGAGAAATTCTACTTATTGCTCTAGGAATTAAGACTTTATGGTGCACTGCCCTGAGAATAGGCAGCTCATTTTAATAAGATGACAGATCATTGTCAGCAACTCAACCAATTTGTTCCTTCCACAGCTCTTAAGTGATCCTCCCTCTCCAGCAAGGCTTCAACTTTTTCAGAGATGAGGTGCTCTCATGTCAGTCTCATCGGTTGGTTGACGATGCATAATAATCATCCAGCTCCTCTGCAGTGCGCACACTGTTTCTTAGAGGCTAATCTTTTCTTACACTTCAAGCTACCCCTTGGCATCCTTTCCTGACTTCTAGGCCAGGTAAAATAGGCATGTTATAGGTCAGTGTTTGTACCCTTCAAACTAGCGTCTGCTCCTGTCCGCTTACACCTGCATCCACTCTTACTGAAGCCCTAGGCCCTGTGTGGAGTGCAAGTCCCCCACCTCTGTGCAGGTTACTCAAAGGCAGGCAGGTGGCATTTTATTCTTGGGCCTTTGGGCAGAAGACAGGGTTATATCAAGGACAGTATTAGCACAGCGCACAGTACCGGGAAGTCGTTAATTGCTTGTATGGACCAACGTCGCCGGGCAGAGCGAGGAGACATCTGTATGTGAAAACGTTATACCCAGGAAAAGGGAAGAAAGACACCAAGAAAATTAAAGACAGAGGTAAATAAACTGAAATGAAAAGTGCCCAGAACCAGCAGAGTAAAAGATACTGTTCCCAATAGTTCTGTCACACAACGAACAGTTGCGAACCACAAATCCCCGCTTTCATCCACACACAATTGTACTATACATTACCCATGGCCCTGGCAAAGCAAGGGCTGCTGCGCCTGTGCCCCACACCAGCCTCTGGAAGACTTTGGCAATCACAAATCTGAATAAAGTCTTCCACACGAAGTTGTACTACTGTGAGCAGCACCGAACCGCTCCACATGACCTTGTTCGTACCATGAACTGACAGCAGAGCAGAGGACACCACCTTGGTGCCCCATATGCCATGCTCCTACTCTAACCAGTTTTATTCCTCTTGGCTGAAGAGGAAGGCAGCTAAGTGCAAACTGCATCATTTTTAACACAGCTGTCCAGTGCCATGGCACAGAAATCTGCAGGAAGCTAAATAAACACTCCTGCTTACTCAGATATCCCTTTAACATCCAACATCTTCCAGGACTTCATTCACTGGAACCTGCTGTAACTGTTCACTTTCATTTTAGACAATAAAAGCCACATGTCAGGATATTGGAAGGGATGTAGAAACCCTGCTACTTGGCAGGGCCATGTGGAAATTGTCATTATGGGTTGAGGAACTCATGCAGGTTGAGTGAGCAATCAAATTCACTGACTATGCAGAATAGCTCCAAAGTAGGCTTTCATTACGAATTTGCAGACATTTCATTAAGTACTCAATGCGGTATTATAGCAACAATAAATGGAATCTCTCAAAGCAGATTACTGTGCACTCACTTAAAAAAAAAATACTTCTGTTACAGTTCTGTAAGAGTCAACACAATAAAAAGGGTTATTTGTGTCATGTGCAAGGTATTTTACATTTATTTCCAGCTGATGATAGGCAATCAGAACCAGCAGCCATGCCTTCAGCCTCTACCTTCCTTTGCATCTCACTGCTGGAAGAACCCTGCAGTCAGGGAGCCAAGGGGTGAGGCTGGCTGCAGGGCCCCACAGAAAGAGAGAGGAGAAGACTGCAGCCTTGTGCTTCAAGATTCCTCCGCCAGGCCTCACAAGAGAAGGAGAAAAGGCTTAGTTGAAGGAAACTGGGTATAGTAGAGAAGCAGCAAAACTAAGCTCAGTCCCCCCACAAAGTCCTGCTCTCCTGTAAGCAGCCACCGCTGCCAGCCTACACTTCTACGTGCTGTGAGTTTGAGAGGTCTGCAACCAGATGGGTACCAGGCAAAGCCTGAGGGATGTCCTGAGAAGCAGCAGTTCCCAAGCCCTGCCAAATTCCCCAATGGGAAGCATGAGGACACTGCTGTAACCACCCCTGTGTACAGCTGTCCCTCAGCTGAGCAGTCCCCAGGTCCCTACTGGCACGACTCTAACCGGAGGGGAGAAAAACCCAGCCATGGCATCCTCTTTAAGAGACATCCAGGTCTGAAACACTGATGGCATTGCCACAGTATAGATACAGCTTCTCCTTCCTGATATTCTTTAGGGGGGTTTTCTGAGAAGTGAAAAAGAGGAAGAAAGAAAGGAGGAGCGTGCATGCGTGAATAAAAAGTGAGAACGAGATACATATGTGTGTGTGTATATACACACACAGAGACATATTTAAATTAGCACAGAAAGGCTCAGTGCCAGATTTAGTTTCATTTTGGTTTACTAAGGAG